TTATGTTTTGTAATTGAATAACAGAATTAAATAATAATTTCTATAAATTAATATAATTAAAAATAAATACTTAACTAACTAAGCGAAGAATAACTTTCTTAAAAAATAATAACAAACGAGGTTGTTAAAAGACATTTATAATCATCTTAACTAAAAGTAAATCTACTAAAAGAGTTCATTTTAATGGATGAATGAATTGTTAAGTAAAATTTTTCCACTTCATTATACAATAATTTTAAAAACAGAAGAGAAGGGTTAATATATATTGTAAAATTTATAAGAAGGAATTACCTGTTTTACTATTAAAGATGAAGAAAAACATCATTATTAACAATACAAATATATCAATAAGATTAGTTCTACAAAATATATACTGTTCAAGTTAAATATGATTAATTTTCATAGCACAAGAAGTATAATTTAGTTAGCAATTCTTATATTCATTATGTTGATTTGTCAAAAAATATATTAATGAAATCTTAAAGATATAATAATTAAGCAACTGAAAGAGTTGGATATAAAGCATTCTTTAAACAGCAAATATTTTGATAAATTCATCTTAAAATATTGTGAATAATTAAATGTATATGACATTAATTAATAAATTGCATTGGTTGATTTAAAAAATCCATCATTCTGATATTATTATTTGCGAAATTATTAGATGTTCCAAATAGTAAAGTATTTGGGAAATATTTGATAATGCAGTAATTATTACATGTATATCTATAATTAATTTAATTCCCTTAGTAAATGGAATTATTGCAGCTGGTGCGATACTAGTAGAACTCTACTTTATATGGAATTAAAGTGATGAAAGTATATTTACAAGAAGTTTACAATCATTATATATAATGGGTTTATTTCCCTTCTGAGTAAATATAGATAAGTTCCCTCCATGATTTATATGACATGTGCTAAGAACTTAAATTAAAAATTGAAATTATAAAATGGTCTAAAAAATAAAAAATTTTTGTAGGTGGTTGTACTNCATTACTTAATTAAATAAAATTTTCAGGGTAGAACAAAAATTAAGTTTAAGGTTAATTTTTTTTATTAATGTATAAATATTTAAACTGGTTTCATCAAATTTTATTTAAATATAACTTAATTATTTATTATGTTATTCATTATATTCTTAAGAAAATCTGTAATAAAAATTCTTAATATTGAATCAATAAGTTGATATCGCTTTAAATTTTATAATAATTATAATATATTTAGATAATTCTATTATGTTTTGTAATTGAATAACAGAATTAAATAATAATTTCTATAAATTAATATAATTAAAAATAAATACTTAACTAACTAAGCGAAGAATAACTTTCTTAAAAAATAATAACAAACGAGGTTGTTAAAAGACATTTATAATCATCTTAACTAAAAGTAAATCTACTAAAAGAGTTCATTTTAATGGATGAATGAATTGTTAAGTAAAATTTTTCCACTTCATTATACAATAATTTTAAAAACAGAAGAGAAGGGTTAATATATATTGTAAAATTTATAAGAAGGAATTACCTGTTTTACTATTAAAGATGAAGAAAAACATCATTATTAACAATACAAATATATCAATAAGATTAGTTCTACAAAATATATACTGTTCAAGTTAAATATGATTAATTTTCATAGCACAAGAAGTATAATTTAGTTAGCAATTCTTATATTCATTATGTTGATTTGTCAAAAAATATATTAATGAAATCTTAAAGATATAATAATTAAGCAACTGAAAGAGTTGGATATAAAGCATTCTTTAAACAGCAAATATTTTGATAAATTCATCTTAAAATATTGTGAATAATTAAATGTATATGACATTAATTAATAAATTGCATTGGTTGATTTAAAAAATCCATCATTCTGATATTATTATTTGCGAAATTATTAGATGTTCCAAATAGTAAAGTATTTGGGAAATATTTGATAATGCAGTAATTATTACATGTATATCTATAATTAATTTAATTCCCTTAGTAAATGGAATTATTGCAGCTGGTGCGATACTAGTAGAACTCTACTTTATATGGAATTAAAGTGATGAAAGTATATTTACAAGAAGTTTACAATCATTATATATAATGGGTTTATTTCCCTTCTGAGTAAATATAGATAAGTTCCCTCCATGATTTATATGACATGTGCTAAGAACTTAAATTAAAAATTGAAATTATAAAATGGTCTAAAAAATAAAAAATTTTTGTAGGTGGTTGTACTCTTAAGGGTATGATATTTGGAGAGTTTATTTAGGAATCTTCAAATTGCCTTCTCTTGATTTGATCCCTTAGATATCTGCATGTACCATATGTTTGGCAAAGGCTACTATTTTAGTTGTGGCAAATAAATACAGCGTTGGGAATCCAGTTATTTATCATTTTTATCCTGTTTGGCTTAGACTTTTTCAGTTTCTTTTTATACGGTTGCTACCAAAGTAAGTTTTGGGATTTTACCTAAATTGGATTGAGTTTTATTAGTATTGGGTTTAGTCAAGTTGTTATTTGTAGTGTAGTTAGTTTTTTGCTGCATAGGTTATTATTAAAATATTTTGCAAAAAAGAAGAATCAAAAAATTGATAAAATTAATTTATAAATTATAATTTAAATAAAATAAAAATGATTTTGACTAAAAATAGAAATTCTATAAGATTGATGATCTATTTTCAAGAAATAATCTATGAGGAATTTCTCCACATTTATACTAGTAGGTTGGATCATTAGAAGATCAGCAAAGTAGATTTACAACTGTCTCAATCCTGCTATATTACGATCATATTTTTTATTAAGATTCATACTAATTATTATGATTTAATCAACACTTTAAATAAATCAAATCAATGATATATAAACTGAAAATATTTTTAATACAAAATGGATATCAATAATTAATTAAATATTTAATTCATAAATAATAATAATAACACCAATCTATTTTGTATTTAAATAGCAAATGACATCAAATTTACAAGTAAATTAGTTTATTTAGTCATTTTAGAATATAATTATGTTTATTATGAGTAAAGATTATTAATTACTAATGTATCATATTCACTAAGATTTATCTACAAAACATCATCATAGCCTAATTGATCTTAAAATAATTTTTGAATACAGTAATATTCCTATCCATGTAAAATGAATAGGAATATAAGCATTTACTTTGATTTTTCAAACCTTATCATTATGTTCAATTACTTAATAGTAGTGATTTCATTCAAATATCTTGATATTTCAATTTGAAGATATTTTTATTTAACCTAATTAAAATTGATAGAAATATCTCATTTACCCTTATTTTTATAAGCATCATAATCATTAAGATTGATGAATATAGATTTATCATAATATTCAATGGCTTCTTCAAATACTTCAAATTGATTTTCTTCGATATTTCAAATATTAGAATTCTTGAATCATTTCAATTATGTTTATTTCAAGAACTCCAATAATTTAAAATTAAATTCATCACAATTATTGAGATTTATCTTTAAAGCTTAATCATAACATTTAATGGCTTCATAAAATTAAATTATTGATTGTACTAATTTAAAAGATATTAAAGGTTGCTTATTTAACCAAAAAATAAATCCCTGTCAACCATATTTATGAGGTTTAAGATACATTTACTTATTATTTAAAATATCAATATAATTAAATTTCATATGTTAATCAAATTCATTAGTAATAAATATTATATTTTTTAATTATAAGCTGCATTGATTCTACTCTAGAGAATATGCCTTTCCATTCTCTTGTATAATTTAGAAACACAAAAAGTCATCTCCTCTAATTTCTGCAATAATGCAGCCCTAACAACTCATTCTTTACAAATGATCCTAAAGTCTCTTTCTAATATATATCGGAAAGTATCAGGTTATTTAAACCTGATCAATTCATTTATTTGTTATTTATCCTGTAAACATGTAGGTATAAGAACATAATGATTTCTGATATATTAAAAAGAAAAATTCTCTATGATCAGCAATATTTTCTTTTAAAGCTTCAGCTTCAAATGTTTATGCTTCAATTTTTCAGTATTTTTTAATTAATTCTGTCTCTTTCTCTTTTCTATTAATTTTACTAAATTTGTTTTATAATTTTATTTATAATTGATCTTTTGTGCTTTGCTTCGTTTTTATTGCACCCTTAGTTCCTTCCTCTTTGTAAATTTTTTAATTTTATCAGAACTAAGATTATATCATTTTTATCATGTTTCTATTGGCAATATTATATATCTGATTTTTCTCAAATAGAAATTAACATATAAACTTTAAGGAGAAATTAGAAATAGCTAAAAATGAATTGAAGAATAATACCCCTAAATTAGTTTGCTGAAAACATGATATAATGTAAAGTATCTATATTGATTTACAAACATAATGAAAAGTATAATTTAATTGACTTTTTATATATTATGACTATTTATAAATGAATTTAAATAATTCTATTATCCTTAATATTTGTGTTGTTAGATGGATAGTTTAAAGCAAGAAGTTATTAGAGATAGCTAGAATTCATTATGGAATATTTTTACATCTGCTTTTTAGTAGTAACATCGAAAATTATTTATAAACCATAATCTACTGATGTATGAGAGTGAATATTGCCTTCAAAACAATTACCTGATCTGAATTTAAATGAGGATGGAAATCAAATTTTTAATTAAAATGTGACATTAATGAAAAAGTAAAGATAAATAAGAAAAAATACATCTAATAATAATTAATCATTATCTATTAGTTAATTTCATAACTACATCTATATCTTAATTTAAATTTTTTATTTTTTTTTAAAGTTCCTTAGCCAATAAATTTTACTTCTTAACAGTATTAGTCAGAATGGGTAACTGTAAACTCTAATTCCAATATTCTTCTTGTTTTCAAAGGTAAGCTCTGTTATTTCAGAGGTTCTGATTTGTTCCATTCCTTAATTTTATGTGTTATCAACAATCTAAATTAAAATTTTTTTAAATGATTAATTTTATTTTATATGTAATTTTCATATTATTGTATCATTTTCATTACTCTTTTTTTTAATTTGTTTATAGTTTTCCAATATGCAACTTCCTTTAGATTCTAAAAAAGGCCTTAAATCGAAACCATTGTAATTGAAAAATTCTCCATTAAGAACTAAAGCTCCTAATGATAAAAATATTGGTTATTGGGAAATAAGGAGAATAGTAATATTATTTTAGGCTTAAAATAATGGATTTTAATATTACCTCCTGAAATAGAATTATATTTAGATAGGGGAGGCCTCGATTATACTATAATATCTTTGAATATCTTCTAGTCAGGATCATTGCTGCTGTTTTGAGAGACTAATGTATTTCCATCAAGAGAGATGCAAACTGAATTGAAATCATTACTATGACCATCCTATTGGACCTTTTATTGTCTTGATTTAATGTCCCATAAACGTATAGAATTATCAAAACTGCCAGATGCTAATGTATAGCCATCAGGGGAGAAGCAAACTGACCAGACACTTACACTATGACCATCCAAAATTTCTTTTTATAATCCTGTCTTAACATCCCATAAACGTATAGAATTATCAAAACTGCCAGATGCTAATGTAGTACTATCAGGAGAGAAGCATATTGATATGACTCCTCTACTATGGCCATCCAATTTAGCTTTTTATTATCTTGTCTTAACATTCCATAAACGTATAGAATTATCATAACTACCAGATGCTAATGTGTTACTATCAGGAGAGAAGCATACTGAGTAGACAGAATTAGTATGACCCTTCAAACTGGCCTTTTATTATCCTGTCTTGAAATCCCATAAAAGAATAGACCTATCATTACTTCCAGATGCTAATTCATTACCATCAGGGGAGAAACAGACTGACCAGACACTTGAACTATGGCCATCCAACCTGCCCTTTTATTATCCAGTTGTAACATCCCATAAGCGAATAGAACTATCATCACTTCCAGATGCTAATGTAGTACAATCAGAAGAAAAGCATACCGACCAGACAAAACTAAAATGGCCATCAAATTTAGACTTTTATTATCTTGTCTTAACATCCCATAAACGGATGGACTTATCGTCGCTACCAGATGCCAATGTAGTACCATCAGAAGAGAAGCATAGTGATCGGACTCCATAACTATGACCATAAAGTTTTCCCTTTTATGATCCTGTTTGAACATCCCATAAAATGATAGACTTATCGTTGCTACCAGATGCTAATGTAGTACCATCAGGAGAGAAGCATACTGACCAAACATTACTTGGATGACCATCCAAATTGACTTTATTTAGTATCCTGACTTTCACATCCCATAAACGAATAGACGCATCATCACTACCAGATGTTAATGTATTACTATCAGGAGAGAAGCATACTGAGTAGACAGTGTTAGTATGACCATACAATTCGGTCTATTATTGTCTTGTCTTAGCATCCCATAAACGAATAGACCTATCATAACTACTAGATGCTAATTTAGTACCATCAGGAGAGAAGCATACTGAGTAGACAGTGTTAGTATGACCACCCAACTTGGTCTATAGTTTTCCTGTCTTAGCATCCCATAAACGAATAGACTAATCATCACTACTAGATGCTAATGTATAACCATTAGGTGAGAAGCAAACCGATCTGACTCCTTCTATATGACCATTTATTTTGACTTTTTTTTTCTTTGTCTAAACATCCCATAAACGAATCGACTTATCTGCACTACCTGATGCTAAAGAAATACCATCAGGAGAGAAGCATACCGATTGAACCCATTAACTATGGCCATTCAATTTGGCTGTTTATTTTCCTGTCTTTACATCCCATAGACGGATAGAATTATCAGCGCTACCAGATGCTATTTTAGTGCCATCAGGAGAAAAGCATACTGAATAAACCCAAAAAGTATGACCATCCAATTTGGCTATTTATTTTCCTGTCTTCACATCCCAGAGACGGATAGACTAGTCAGCACTACCAGATACTATTGTAGTGCCATCAGGAGAGAAGCTGACTGAGTAGACATTATGAATATGACCATCCAACTTATTTAGCTCATGTATTCTTAAGTTTTTCCATTTACAATTAAATAGCAAAGCTCCACTTAAATTTATTCCACTTATGTCTACATTTTCAAATTGGGATTCACTTAAATTGCATCTTGCAAAATTAGCTCCTACTAAAGAAACATTCTAAATTCTGATTTTTTCAAAATTTTAGTTTCTAAGGTCCACTTTCATCTAGATTAATAAATTCAATGAATTTGATCCGCATTAAATAAAAGTGCTGTCGATAGCTGTGAGCAAAACGAAAAATTTTAAACATTGAGTGATCTATTAAGTTTTGGATATTTTTTTAATTAGATCTTGATTGAATTCTATGTAAATTTCTTCAGAATAATTTTATTTATTAAAGTCATGATCCTTTATTTTTTTAATTGCATTAGTAATTTGTATAATATTATTGCTAACTAAATAGAATCTTTATTCCTTCTCAGTTTGTGTTTAATTTTTTTCTTTAAAAATGTATTATTCAAAATGTCTTTGATTTTCATTTCCCGAAAGAAATCCTACACAATCTTCAATATTCTCCTTTCTAAACAATTAAATTATCAAACCGTATATTGTTTCGTCAATATCTTTAAGCTAATGGAAAATCTCAAATAGATCATCTTATTCATCGTCATTGTAATTCATTTTCTCTTTTTTTTAAAAAAATTATTGAAATTTAAATATTTTAGTTTAGTTTTTATACAAATAATTTGAAAAGTATTACAAAAGTAATCTTAAGAAGAAACCAAACATTCTTAAAATTTTGAGTGATATTTATTTGATCTCTAAATGAGTAATGAGTTACTATAGAAAAAATAATTTTATTTTGAATTATTGTGAGTATTTATAATTATTTTATAAACAAATTTCTAATTCTATTATTGTTATTGTTTTTGTTATTGTTCACTATTTTCCTTTTTGATCATATAAGGTAATCATAAAGAATTAAAGTATTTTATTTAAAAATTAAGATGAAAAGTTTAGATATGATTAAATCTGACTCATTACTTGATTTTGTAATAATATATATTGGATTTGGAGCTAATACAATTCTTTTTGATTCTTAATTTATAATCTTACAAAAGCATTTATGTATGATTTATTATTAGAAGTACCAATATGTCAATTTGAAAAATAGAATCTAATATTTTTTATACCATCAAAGATGTAATTTGATCTCCAAAATTCTTATGTATTATTATATTCAAATATATATATAATTATTTGATAATATTTATAATAATTTTCATCTTTTTCATGTAAACTTAAAAAAATTGAGTTATCTATCAATTTCAACAAATGGATTAAGCATCATCAATTATACAATTTTAAAACTCTTTTTTCAAAGATGATTAATATTTACATCCAATTATATTATTGCTGTTACGATCAATGGCATAAGAATTTGGTATTTTATGACTGTTTCAGATATAGAACTAGATTGAAATTGCTATAGATTAAAACTTTCATCTGATTTACCTTTCCTAATTGATGATGAAGGGTTATATTAAATTATAATTATTTTCATTTAAAAACAAAGATCAATGCAAAAAGTTCTTTACTAAAAATTAAATAATTAAAATAAGGAAGTTTTGCTTGAAGCAATGATAAATGTAGAGATCAGTTATGTGAAGATTTAAGTGATGAAGCTCATGAGTAGTGTCAAGCAAAAATCTAACATGCACTTCAAAGGGAACCAAATACATTAAAATCCTATCTTAGTCTTAACATTCTAATATTTTTTCCTGTAATCTTGCATTAGAAACTGATGAAAAATACTTATTTTCTAAAGTTAGTTAGAGCACTCTCAAATACACAGACAAAATAGAATTATTTAAACTAACTATAATCAGCTTTCTCATAATATTATCAAATATGAGCATTTCGAAAATGGCATAGCCAAATTAAATTGTAATAACATTTAATATATTTCTAGGCGAATTGATGAATTACATCTTAATGGATTTATACTTTTTCTTCTTTAATTATAATAATATTTGATGTTTTCTCTATTCTCATCTTTTTCAAAAGGTATCCTATATCATTTCTTTAATGACCAAAAATGAATGTTGCTTATTCAAAACAGTAAATTATTTTAGATAATTAAATAAATTTAATCAATCAATAAATTATAAATGAATTATATAGAATGGCAGGAATGGATTTATTTTTCGTATAATCCATTTTAACATACCAAAAGATTAGATGTCCTGAAAATTTAAAAGGAAAAAATTAATTTATTATTAATGTTCATTAATTCTAATAAGCTTTTTTACCTCTGCTTATCAAAAAATTAATTATATAAATATTATTTTTTAAACTTAAAATTTGATACCAAAACTTGGTCTTATTCTCAAATTAGAATTAAGTAAGGAGAATTTTTCATTTTGTAAAATTCAAATGATGTTTATCTTCTCAATTTATTTTAATGCTTTTATATAAGCTAAAACCTAATTATTATTTAACAAAATTATGTTATAAACTCTATAACTTCAAAAGATCATTTCTTTATACAATATAAAAAGTTCACTGTTTTTGAATGTTTGATCTGACTTATGATTCTATTATATCATGAATATCATTTTTTAATTACTGACTTTTAATGAAACTTTCCTTAACAATGAAATTTATTAAGATCTTACTTACCCACAAAGCTTTAAGTTTCTGTCATATAACTAATAATTCATGTATACAGTAGATGAAATCCTTAATCATTATTACATTATATACGATCTAAATTATTATCAGGAAAGAACTAATATATTTGAGATGCTGCTATCTAATTAAATAAACTTATTAAGACATATGTGATCAAAAAATAACATCATAATTAGCAAAATTTTTATTAAAATACAGATTACTTTTCAAAATATTGAATTATATTTATGATGTCTCTAATTTTTGCTTTCTTTAATTGATATCAATTCTTTTAATGCTAAATATCAAAGTTCTCTGATCAATAAATGGCCCCAAAGATTTACAAAAATAGGAGCATATCGAATTATACTCTAACTTTACACAAAATTAGTTTTTAAATTAAAATTTAAAACTCAATAATGTGAAAATCTATATTTATAATTATATATAATATCAAATAAAATGTAAACATAAGTAATTTAGAGGTTAAGTGAAGTCAATGCCAAGTGAAATATTTTCAAACTAATAAAAAAAATATGTAAAATAAAAACTAAATGATAGTGTTCAAATAGAATTAATAATGTTAAATAACAATGTACTTTGATAATAAATATCACTAGTATTATAAGTCAATTAAACTTTCCAAAAAACAGCCTCCTCTTTCTTTAAATAAATAATTCCCAGAAGAAATGATTTTTTTTTAAATAAAGGTATTTTTTGGCGATAATTCAAATACCAACAATAGGATTAACTAAATAAAATAAAATTAAATAAAACTTTATGAAGACGAACTAACTAAAAAATTAGCAAAACGATGCAAGAATTATTTATAGAGGCAAGCTATGGGATGAATAACTGGAAGAAATTTATTGAGCAAATAATAATCAAATTTTTGATCTAAAACCAAGTTAAATAAATCGTAAAAAGAATATAATGAATAATATTATTTAAGCCAAAGTAATGTAAAGAATTAATAAAAAATATTAATAAATAGATGTTTATATATTTATTCATTATTTTACTATAATGATTAATTTTAATGATAAAACTAAGGATAATTCAATTAATATCATTAAAATTTATACTTATAAATGTATCAACTTACCTCATAATTTATCTAGCAGTCTTAACTATAATATCCATCTGCATTCATAATCTTTACAATCATTTTACTGTATCTTAATACATAATTCTATTATTATCCAATCTTATTCTTATCTTTTTGATGAATATATCAACAATAATCAATGTTAATATCAATTTTTGAAGATCTAGTCTATATATTATCTAAACTATATTGAATTATAATTGTTATATTTCAATTATTTGAATAATATTAGGTTGTAATATTGGATAGAAGATTATCATAAAAAAATAATTGTACATTAATTAATCATATTTTCTGGATGTTTATTATTCTGAATCAGATTTTGCACTCCTTAATAAATTTAATAAATTACATTTTATAAGACTAATTTACTGTAATTAAGTTTTTCGAAAATTTTTAATTGAATTAGTGAATTAGAATGATGGTATTATGGCTTTGATAAATATAAACTAATATAAGAAATAGTATGAAGTAAGTAAATATTGCAATAAGATATTAAGTGATACCTAATAAAGTAGAAATTATGAAATATACCAAGTTTTTTGTACGGATAAATAAAAGACCATGTAAAATATTAATAGTTTAAGAGATTACTGTTTGAGAATTCTTTTAGGATTTAATCTAAGTGTTTATGGTACAATAAAATAGAATTGAATAAGATATCACTTTATTGAATCTATTTTTGTATGATAATTTCTTGGATTAATAGAGTAGAATTGTTGTAAAATAAAAAGGAAGTATATATAATTACTTACTACTTCTTTATTAAGGATTTCAATGTTTCATTGAAACTTCTTTGCGTTATTTTTTGATTTGTTAATAATAAAATTTTTTTATAAATGTGACTATTCCTTTTGTGCCTGCTTAATAAAAATGATAAAATATATCAAGAATTGTGAAAACGATATAACCTAATACTGCAAATCTGATAACTAATCCATAAAAAATACTGAATAATCCAACTATTATTCCAGAAAGAAATATTTAAGATCCTTTAGTTAAAACATATGACCAATTAAAGTGGGTTCTATATTTACAGAAAAAATACAATAACAACTAATATCTAATGGACTAGATGACTTAAGGTCATTTATTTAAGCAATAAACAATTTAAAATTAAAAACATCCTTGAATAATATATAAATTTCAAAAATTTGTTTAAGATTTAAATCTTACAAGAAAGTGAAGGAAATAAGGTCTCAAAGCCTCTTTTCTCTTGGGAACTCTATCCAATTAACAACTAATTTAAAATAAATTCAAAAAAAAAATAAAAAAATTCCAAAATTTTGAAACTAGAACTTGCAATGACATCAGAAAAATATTTTATCCTTTTTTAGGATACAAATTATTATGAATTGGATGCTTTTTCTAAATCTTTTAAATGATTTGAAAAGAGATTCAAATAGTCTTTTTAATTTGGTGCTTAAAACCTGTTAGTCGAGTGTGCTACTCTTCTCAGCTTATCCTAACTTTCCTCTTACTTAATATCGACGCTAATCACACTGGAGGTACTCATACAAAAAACAATAAAGAAATAGAAAGAGGGAATATAGTCAAGTAATTAAGGTTCTTTATTAGTATATTCTAAGTTAATCTATTTTATTTAATTGAATGGCTAATCACTTTAAGAGTACTTATTTCTCTAGTTTTTGGGTTATTTTATCCAAGTCGATGAGTTATGAATAAAATAATTTAATATATTAATTTAAAAAAAAAAAAATGAAATTTCTCTATTTTTTTAGAAATTTTCTTCATATTTTTCTGTATTAAATCAAATAAAAAATTAAATTCATTTTATTTAGAAACATTATGTAGATAAAAATATTTAAAATCTTTAAATTTATTCAATATTTAACCAAAATAAGGAATTCCTCAACTAAAAATTACAATTCGTGATCAA